ATTAAAATTTCCGTTAAGGGAACAGAATATGCAAAAGGAATAAGAATTCATTCGAAATTTGTTTCGTTTATATACAATTTTTTTAAGACTTTTAATCTCGTTATGATACAATTACTTTACGTAACATAACTTCCTTAATCTAGAATTCTTATCATAATCTCTTTAATATAACTTTCTTAACATAATTTGTTAGATTACACAACAATTAACTGTTTGCTATTAAATTAAAATTTACCCTCGGTCTAGCATTTTTAGAGCAGAGTTTAGAATAGGTTTTCATAAACCTCTGATCCCATTTTCATCACCAGTCACCAACTGTTTCAGAAATGGGTTGGGGACGATTTTTTTTGTAATTCAGAAACAATTCGTAAATGGAAATGCAATCATTGAAGTTCCCAGCAATTTTGCGTTAACTCCTGTGGCTGGAGAAGCCGATTCATAGAGCTTTTTTTTGTATCCAGCTTTATTCAAATAGTTCCAAACGGTTTTCTGTGCAAAGTTTAGCTCTGGAGCACGGTTGATACTTGAAAATTTTTTTCTGTACCAAAATTGGTTTAAAAAGGTACCATTTCTGTAAAAAAAGGTCCAAAATTTTTCTATTGTCTTTTTATAAGAAAATACAATTTATATAAAATGTACAAAAAGTATAAAACAATACAATATCCACAATAAAGTTGGGTCGGCGAAAATGTACCATTTTTTGAACATGAGTACCAGAGTACCAAACGGAAAAAAAAGTACCAATTTTGGTACTAAAGTACCATAAGTGGCAACCGTGCTCTGGAGCAATCAAAACAGTGCTTACATGATAACAGTAGGTCGGATAATTTGCATGATTATATCAACTACCAAACGTTTTATTAGAACCAAATCTTATATTTCTAACGCCAGCTAGTGTAAAAAAGATCGGACTATACAACGCGGGATAGAGATAACTAAAGCCATCTAATAGAAAATAATGGATTTCTTTTTGCTACACCTAGTATAAAAATTTACTGCTGTGTAATATTTATTTTTTTATTTATTAATATTTATAGTTGATAAATAAAAATTGTTTCAAATACATTTTTTTTTCGAAGGTAGAACATGGAATAATGTCTGAAGTATGTCAGGTGATATAAATACATCTATGTATAAGTTGTTAATTTGAGATTTCCAATATAAGATAATCTGAAAAACTCAATTTACGACAGATTTTTGTAAAAAGAAGTACAAACGATTATTCTATTAAAAAATTTTATATATTTAATTCGAAATCATTTTACATTTAAAATTTAAAATTAATTTTCTAAAAACTTTTGTCTGAAGAAATCTAAATAACTACATATGTTACATTGTAAAAAATTTTTGAAATAATTTTAAGTCATTCTAGATTTATAAATGTCCTTTTTTTGAAATTTTTTTTTATATAGATCAACTTTGATATAGTCATGAACTATATTTGCTTTGACTTCAGAAAACAACAGATATTGTGTTTCTTTCAACAATTGAATATACGAGGGTTACTATTTAAATTTTGAAACACCCATACAATCGACTACTGTTTACGTTGCGGCTGATACGTATATATCTATGATTTTTCACCTATTACAATCTTATATACTCCTACGTCTTTTGAATCACCACTATTGTACTTTTTGAGCATCAATTGACATGAGCATCTTTTTGACATTTTGTCAAATGATGAGGATTCCAACGAGAACAAACCTTTCTCACGGCTAAGTGATTGCATTTCAGAGTGGCAAAGGATAAACATTTTACTTCATCGCTAATTGTGGAAGTAAGTTGATCGATGCACTCTTGTCTTGATAATCCACGTCAGAAGTTGTAATAAATTATCGTACTATAATTTACAATTTACAAATCACTGTAAATAACATAAATAACGCTCTTTTGACAAAAAGTCTTAGGTATGTTATATTTAATATGTCAAACTTTCGTGTGGAAATCTCAGATGACACCTGACAAGTATCAGTGTTGCCGCAAAATATAAATAGTGACTCTCGTAATAAATTTAATTATAGTCAAATTTTCTTGTTTATTCACTAAGATTATAAAATTATTTAACTTATATCTTAAGGCAGACTTTTATTTTATAAAGCTCAAAATTTGGATACACTTTATAAATTTTTAAATGAAATATTTTCTGTTCTGTGACACATTGCAAGGCACGCAATATACAACTAATGAATAGATTAACAACTAAATGAAAGCATTGCATTAGAATTTCAATTTGAAGTGTTATACCGCATTTACACTAGCTGAAAATGGCTCATTTTGATCAAAAATCGAAAATGAGAAGCAAATGGCACATTCTTGCATACAAAATTTCAAGCGCGAATGCATTCCATTTCAATACATTCGGTATGAATGAGTCCCAACGACGTTAGGATGCGTTCCAAATATGTTCCAAATACAAAGGAATACAGTAAACATACCCTAAATAAAAGCTCTCCATGGCATTTTGACAGTTTAAGAAAGATGTTTTTGACATATTTACAAAAAAAGGTAAACAAATGTTTGGTGGTTGTATTTCCTTGAAAATGATATATCTCTTTTTAGACTTCAACTTCCCAAAAAGTACATATTTTAAGGTTTCAAATTATATTTAACCTTCATGCAACATTTTTTTGGCACAGGCCAAAAATCAAATCAATAGGCAATTTGAAAAATCAGCTGTTTGAAATGAGAACGAATGAAATACAACGAATGTAAACACTTTTAAATGGCTCATTCAAAATGAGCTATTTTCGGCTAATGTAAACGCCATATTGCGGCCTTCGAAGTTTGCAGTTCCAAACTTTCATTCAATATAAAATATTTGCAAATTTCTTTCTAGATATTCTTAAATAATATGTTCAAGAATAACATATCAATAAAAATTTACCTAAAAAATATTTTTTTATTTTTTATTAAACAAATTGTTTAATTAAGAAATTAACTATTATTAAATTATTAATAAAAACATGTAAAAAACCAATCGTTGAATATTATCAAACATCAAGTGAAAGTTATCAAAAGTATCTATTGCCTAACACAGATGACTTATCTTTGCCATTTTTACGAAACGAATTTTTTGTGGAACTTCAAAAACGTTTTTTGTGTCGTTTATGTTTTTGCTTGCCAACAAAATCTCAGACAAAATATACAAAATAATAAATTTTAATTTATACACAAACTTCGCTGATCAAATAAGATATGAAAATAGATATGTAAGGAGGAACTTCAAACATTTACCACTAAAAGCGATAAAAAATTAGTAAACAAAAATTAAAAATGCAAAAAAAGTCGGCGAGTTCGTAACACTTAAGACCATAAAAACTTTGAATGAAAGTGAAACCGGTTCCTCCGCACTTCTCAAACTTTAACCTGAACAAGTAGTTCGCTCCATGCGCACCATAGATGTACAATAGGTTAAAATCTAGTGACCCATATTCAATATTTCTTTCTTTCTTTTTTTGCTGTGAATATTTTTTATTTGTTGATTAACAATTAATCGATCGGTTGATTGATAAAAAAGTGAGCGTGAATTTCTCAAAGTAAACAATTTAATTTATGATTTTATACAAAAGATAAAGTGACTTACATACATATTTATATTTTTTTTTTTTTGTGATATTAGACTTAATTAAAATTTTTTTAATTTTCTCAAACAAGTGTTTTTTTAAATAGATTGATTGAATGATATGGCTTTGCTATGAATTGCATTTATCAATTCATCTTAATTGAAAACTTCTTCCAATGCACTACAAAAATGAGGTCTATTATTAAGATTAAAGTATCTCAGGTTTTTGTATGAACAAATTCAATTACATCCAACTGATTGAATTTCTGTTTTTATATCTTTGATGTTTGGATTAATGAGAAATTAAAGATAGTTTCTTAAGAAAAATAATTATTCTATAAAAATTAGAACACTTTCTCCTCTTAAAGCACGTTTTGACGTTTTTGTGGAATGTAAAAATATCTTTTATTTATTTAAATAATTGAGCAGTAGTTTTTAAATTTATATTAAAAAATAAAAATGAATTTATATTAAAAAATCTTTAATAGACTCTTTAAGCTTAACTATTAACACTTTTTTTGCTGTAAAAGGATTAGCTAATCGATATTTTTGAAAATAAGTATATAAAATAACAATAATACTATTAACATAGTATTGTTTTGAAATACAAATCCAGGTACACAAAGATACGATACGTCTAATAAAACAATAGTCAATTATTTACTATTAAAATCGTCGTACCCATAACACTTGCTTAATCTTCTTGGTCACATACGCCTTGGATAAACTATAGTTATGAGGACGGGCTTTATAAAAAAACAGTAACGTATTACAGAATAGGTTATACTTTCTTTATGTGTATTAAGATTTTCCTTAATTAACATTTACCCAATTTTTTTTTTAATATTTTTTTAATACTTTTAATATTTTTCAAATACCAAAATATTTTCTGCTATATTTTGCTAAAGCCATTTTTTTTTTGTTTTCGTTTTTAAAGTTAAGTTCTAACATTTTAGATAGTGTATTATGTACAACAAATACGTTTGTATTATATACGAGTTTTTAATATCTATAACATTTCCAACTAACATGCTTTCAATCATTGGCAGTGTCAACCCAAACTTTATCTAAAATTTTTATTTTCAAAATTACAATTTGTGAGTTCTTCAGGTACTCAATTTAAAACTTAAACAGTTTTAACAGTTCGCGTATAAATTTCATAGCACTCGCATTAAAAATGAAAGAACCACTAATCAAGCCGGTAACGGAAAATTCTAGAAGCTTAACACAGTGCAACAAAAATTTTATCTTCAAATATTTGATAAGTTTTGTATTTATTTCAATATCGATTGTCACAATTTACGTTTTTTTGTGGCCACACATACACCATAAACTTACTCTACGAGCTCCCAAGCGCTCAGCAAATGAGCAGCTCTACAATGAAGTCCGCATACTTTGCATATTCACAACAAGGCCAGAAGAATACGACCTTACAATGCATCAGCAACGAACCTGGATGCGGCATTGCAACGAGGTGCTAATCACAAGTAATGAAGAATCCGAAAATCTCGAAACGGTGATGTTAAACATACCCGCAGATCAGCATACCAAATGGCAAGAGATACGTAAGAGTCTTGTTTATGCATACAATCATCGCATAAATGATGTTGATTGGATCTTGAAAGTCGAAACTCACACGTAAGTTCGAAAGTTTTTAAGAAAAGCGACGACGTTTTCTTCTGCCCACAAAAGAAACACTTTTCTAAGAAAATTGCATGTAAATGCGAATGAGGCCTATAAATTGTAGACTTAACCTTTGTTCGTCCAATCATTACACAAACTATGATAACAAAATTGTCAAAATATTTTGTTAACACTTTTTAATCAGTAGTTTTGTCGGGTCTAATCATGTAAATTTTTATTGTAAACCGTTTGACCCAGATTCAAACATTTTCTTAATTCTAGTTTATGGGCAATTCATTCGGTTCTGATGTTTTCCATAATTTTCTGATCTTTGTCATTGAAATTTTTATCACTTTTTATTATTATTATGACATTCTAAACAATTTTGTGCGGTAATTTATTTATTTGGAAGCTAAAAGAAATTTTTCTTATACATTCATTTATTAAAAATGCTTACCGAATTTGTCTCTTTTTTGAACTGATAAAGTTATCTCAACGTTGAAGAATGTGATACTGTTTTTATGTGGGTTTCTTCCACAAGTTCTGATTATTCGGTTAATATATGTAGATTAGAAATGTTAAAGTACATAACGATACGCTTTCCAAAAATTATATTTATTTTTATATTAATTAATTGCCTATATTATTTGACATTGTGTATATAAAAACATACAATTAGTATAATTATATTTTAATTTAAACATTATTAAGCGGAAAGTTAACAAGGTATCTTACTGACTTTAAAAATAATAAAATTAGAGAGTTTAAAATAATAATATTATTATATATAAGACTTGGAAGCCATACAAACTATTTCGATTTAGCAATGGTTTATCTAAGAACAGGCTAAGAATATTAAGTGGAAATCTGACAAACCACCGTAGGCTTATATCAAGTCTTATATGAAGATTTCACAATGAAGAAATTGAGTTCCCAAGCTTGGAAATGTAATACATTGGTTTACAAAACACAACAGTAGCGCAATAAATATGATCCCTAACAGCTACAACATTTATCACCAGTCCAGCTTGGCTTCTCGAAATTTTATTGTCAACAGGACTGAATAATATTTACTGAGGGATTGGGGTTTGGAGTTGTAGGATTTTATACTGCGGCCTATAGATTAATTTTTGTACTTCAAAAATTCAATGTAGTTAGTAAGGTATTAGTCTGTTTATACAAATAGAAATACATACATAGACTTTTGTTTTGAATTTAAGAATACAATTAAATAATAAATATATAACTATACTATAATATACATATGTACGCCTATTTTTCCCACAGAGTAATTTCTTAAAGTTTTTGAAAAAATTTTGGTATGAAACCTGGTCAATCGAATCGTATTTCTTTATGTGATACAAAATGCCTAATATCACATACCAGCTATCCTCCGTTTTTGCATCAGTGCAAGATACACTCAGCACTTACGAGGGTCACTATTTTTATATTAAGCTTAATAATGAAAAAATACTAACTTGTCGTTAGAACTTGCTTTACTGTTTTTCAAAGTATTCTCCTTTATGATTAATACGGATTCACTTTTGCATGCGTTCGAACCATTTGTCACAACATTTTTTCTAATCTTCTACTCTGACGTTCGGGAACAAGAAGATGTATACCAAGTCATTGGGTGCCAAATCAGGACTACACGGCGGATGGCCTATCAATTCGATTTCGAACATTTTTGAATGTTAAAATAGTCGTTTGTTAGACTTGTTAGACGAGATATAAAAGCACTCGCATTGTTTTAATGGCGTTGAAGAATGATTCGGCAGCGATTGTTTGTTTTCCTTATTTCACTAAAGAGTTCCAGTAAACAAATGGTTCCATATCATTACCAACTGGAATTAACCATTTTACGTTCCTATAATAATATCCATATATAACCATATAACCAGTTTTCCTGAAAAAACAAGCGACCATTTGTTTCGAAGTGCTTCGAGACTGAACAACTTTATTTCGTCTTGAAACATCCACACAGTCGACGACTACTGTTGTTTACCTTCCGATTCATAGGCATATATCCATGATTCGTAACATGTTAGAATTTTATACAAGTATATGTCTTTTGAAGTACAACTATTAAACTTCGTGAGCATTTGTATAAACCAATCAACACAAGCAGTTTTTTGAAATTTTGTCGAATGATGGGGACTCAACGAGAACAATCCGTTCTCTAAATGCACGTCTAAATGGTCGTGCAATATTTTATATACACTGGTGAAACTAATGCGTAGGATTCCACCTTAACCTCAACCTCACAGTATGTTGCATGACAATCCTCATTACTCGTATCAGTTTTTTGGCACAGCAACTGATTTTGAGGTCAATGAACAAACTGCGGTCCCAGTTAATATCACTGTAAAAGCGTTTCACAGTGACAAAGGATGGAGTTTCATCTCCAAATGTGGATGCAAGTTTATCGATGTGCAAACACTCTTGTCTTGATAATCTAACGTTAACTTCATTTTTTCGAAAACACTCATTTACAAATCAATGTAAATAACACAAATACTAGTAACGCTCATTTGACAAAAAGTCTAAGGTAGGTTAATTTTAATAGTGTTAAACTATCGTATGAAAACATCAGATGACACCAGTCAATGTTGCCAAGGATCAAAATATTAATAGTGACCCTCGTATTAAGTCATTAGTATATATATATACAGTAATCTTTGAATTCAATCGTTGGGGGTCGTTTGCTTTCCTTATCCCCTCGAATTCCTTCTTGCTTACGTGTCCACGCATTGTCCTGCTCTTTACAAAAATTAAAAAATATGTAAGTGCTTAATGTACATAATGTAATAAAAGCACTTTAGGAAGCCCCACGCCTCAAGTCACTGATATTCAATATCGAAGTCTTTAAAAGAAAAAGAAGATGGTTTGCAAGCATTTCAAAATCTTTAAAATTTTAGGAATTACAAAATAAAATTTCTGGCATATATTTCTAAAGAAACTTTTGAATTAATCTTTATTAATTTGTAATTTATTTCATTGAAGAATGAAGTATAATTTTAAAACATTTGTCAAATGCTTTATAATTGAAATATCTAATTTTCTCAAAAATATTACACAATTACTTCCGGCTATTGTTCTATACAACCTAAACAAATAATGCGTATAGCACCAGTGTAAAGACACTTCCGATTGCTTTGTATATCCTGTGAAAATGTACCGATATGAATTCTACAAAATTTTGATATTCAACTTCCCACAATTTGTCAATTTGTCACATAAGACATTTAAAGGACACTTTAACAAAAAAATTTAATTAAGGAGTAATTGTTTTGTAGAACAATGTACTAGCACAAAATAAATCTATATCATTGTACACATACTAATATATCGATATAGTGACATACAAACTGCAACCAAGAAATGCATATGTTGTATTAGGAGACACCCTCCTTAAGATTTTTCATTGTGACAATTTTCATTTATGGATTTATCTGCAAGAGACAACATCTTTATAATGTGGTTTGCATCTATAATTGCAATGTGTGCGGAAGAGGAATTTCCGTTTCTATCTATTTTCAATATTCATTCAATATTTTGTGATTTAAACTGCAAATGAGCAAATATCATGTGACAGCAAATGTGGTCATTATGTGATATTGCATCACTGGCATGTGCGTTATTATGATGTGAATATAGTTTGGTGAGTTCTAAAGATTTCCTCACTTTTGTCTTGTAGTTTTTAGACCTGCTTTTAAGAAGGATATTGTGTTTTGAATCCTTTTGTTTGCATGTGTTCGCAAGATTATATCTTTATATAATGTATCCGTAATATGATAACGTAAATGAGATGTACGTGAGATGTACGTGAAATGTACGTGAGAAATTATGGATTTTCTGGCTAATGTGACAGTTTTAATGACAAAGTTGAAAAACAAAGAAGTTCTTCGTATGGAGAAGCAACTGAAGAGATGTGTTTAAAAATGTTAAAATCCTTAAAAGAAAAAAAATGTGTTTTAATATGAATAGCTCTGGTTTCGATATATAATTGGTTTGGTTCAGGACAAGTGAATTATAAGAGATTTTCATTTAATGCGAAATGATGAATTTGGTCTGGTTTAATAACCATTACAAATAAAAAGGGTTAAACGGTAATAAAACTTCATACTAAATTGGAAAATATGTTTAATAAATATAAAAATTTAATAATATACAAATTTAATTTATTTTAATAAAGAGTCTAGAGCCCCATAAAATACATTAGTATTAAATCGCGGTATATCAGAAATGTATCACCAATTTTACTAAAAAATAATTATCAATGTTGTGTACTTTTATATGTTATGTATATAATATAATTTTTATTTAAATTCAGAAGGTTTAAAATAGCAAAGAAAGGACAAAAACAAAAGTTTAGTTTATTAATTGAAATTTAGCTGACCAGAAAACGCTGTTTCGAGTATTCCCAAGTACTCATCAGTGGTGGTCTTAGAAAATATTCAAGTTTCTTAATTAGTTTGTAGTCCGTATATAATACCCGCTGCAGTGAAGGGGTTAGAATATTCAGGCGGTAGACATGCCTGTCATAGGAGGCGACTAAAATCTCGGTGCCACGGTGACACTTTCTTCTTAACTCGTCACTGTATTGATATCAACAACTTCTTTTTTAATTTACTAGATTATACAAATTCTTTAAAGCACATTTCTTTCTCCAACTTTTTTTTCACAATGTTATTTGTCACTAAATCTATGTATCTGCGAAACACGTTTATATCTAGTACTGATAATTGCAAAATCTACTACTTACCAGCATACGATTACTTCGCGTCTATTAGTTAAGTCTATTTAGCTAAGTTATACTTCTAATTGTCGAAGATTTTAACTCCAAAAAATCTTTGTATAATTTATTATTAAAATTTAACATATTTGTGAGGTTTGGAGTTCGACACAACTCCTTAATAACTAGTTAGATTTTGATCTCACAAGTGCAAAGACCTCAAACATATTAAAGCTACATTTCTTCATTATGAGTTCTATGTTGAAGATATGGAACGGAC